CCCTGTCAGTGAACTGACAAGGGTGGAGTCTTATTTCTTGCAAGCTATTATGATAGCCAGCCTTTGTTCCAGAGACTATAACCCCATCCTCTTATTTCTTGGTTCCCTATTCCCAGTTTTGACTGCCAGCAAAAGTTATAGAAAAGACAGCTCTATTATAACCAGGACAGCTGTACCTTTTTTAAAGCAGTAGAGGCACAGTCTCAACTGGTGAGGGACTGAGAGCAAAAAAAAGCACTAGAATACTTCACTGCAGCATTATTTTTATTGATGAATACCACAATCAAAACATCTTTAGAAATGTTAATAGTCTTGCACAACATAGCATCTAGTATTCCTGGCTTACCCCACAATATGGGGCAAGCAGATTGCACCTGTAAGAAAAGCATTGGTATATTAACTGCCCTAATTTTAACTTTTGCTCACTCTTATTCCCCTTTCTTTCACTCAAATACACAAATACACAGTCCGCACATGCTGACGCCTATCACGCTCAAGCTCTCTCTCCCCCTCTCACCTCTTTCCTGGCCCGCTGGACTTGTTTCTCCAGTTCCTCAGGTATCATCTTACCTCTAAGGGACACAGATTTAAAACTTTTTCAGTTATATTCAAATATGTTACTTACTTACAGCTCTACTGCATTTTAAAAGGCTCAAACCACTGCAGTGGCTTTTCTTCCTTACCTTTCATCTGTTTTGATGAAGTAAACATTCTGTGTGCCAATGCCCAGGAAAGAAGCTGCCTTCTTCATGGAGTAATGACACTGGGTAATTTTTTTTTAAAAAGACATGAAAAAGAAAGGAACAAGCCATAAACAATATTAGCTTATTGACATGACCATTATCAAATATTAACAGCATTTCCTAATGCAAAAAGCAAATTGTAAGTGCTGTGCAGAAATTAGGCATCTAATGACGTGCACAGAAAATGAAGCAAGTAGTTACATGGTCCATATTTAAAATGGTGATCAAAAGAATTGCTGAGCTGAACTAGAATGGGTCAAAAGTTGGAATTTCTGCTCCATGGAAAATCTGGGGGGAGAAGGGAGGGGGCTGTTTTGGAATGAAAAGTAGAAATCTTGAAATTTCTTACAGAATGAACACATGGATAATAATTAACATTCTTTCAAAATCAAACATGTTTCATAGCAGAAACTTTAAAATAAAATGTAATTTAAGAGCTTAAGACTCTGAGCTCAGCCATGGCTCCTAGGAATTTCATGCTCCCAGCACCAATACAGCAAGTTCTGTAGCCTGACAGCTTGGAAGCTGGGACTCACAGAATTCAAGAACTGCCAGACTCCTACTTCTGGAGCAAGGGGCCTGGCAGCCTTGTGATGACTATCCCGGAGTGATGAACTTTCTTTTCCTCATGTCCTGCTAATAAAATTACAGAATTTGCCAGCATAGGGCATACAGTATTGCCCAATCTGTAGCCCTGATAAGATCTTTTACAGCGCATGGTTTATTCAAGAGCCAGCAGATGAACAGATGTTAAATAATCTGTTTCACCTCAAGCAGAGCTGTGGGGCAGAAAATTTTCCCCGCAGAAAACATTTCTGGTATTTTTTTGTGGGAAATTTTCCATGTCTAAAAATTCATTGTTTCATCAAATTCATTAGTAAGAATGAATGGATGCCAATACAATATTAGGCAAGCTTGGTAGCTTCAAAGTTGTAATTAATGTTTTTCAGGTGATTATCCCTAAGAAGTGTCTGAGTACATATATGTTTTATTGATTTGTAAATAGAAGGGTAAATACACTCACATAATAATCCAAACCAAAACTCACGTTATGAATTCACCTAATTGGCTGTTCAGGTTAAATCAAAACCAAAGCTAAAATTCTTATTTCATCTCAGACTGGACGTGAAAGCAAAACCAAAAACAAACTGTAATTAATTTTTGTTTCACTTTCAGTTCAGCAAACAGAGCAGTGTGTCATTTCTTTTCTGGAGTTGGGGAAGTTGGAAGTGTTTGCATAAGATCTGTTAGTTTTTTAGTGCTTTTGCTTACTCAATGGAGGAGGCAACCTTGTGATAGATGATGCAGAAAAGGCTGAAGTACTCAATGTATTTTTTTACCTCAGTCTTCACAGAAAAGATTAGTTAAACTGTTGCACCTGACAGCACAGGTTGGGGAGAAGATGGCATAATAACAGATGGCACAACAGTGGCACAAGAACAGATTAGGGGCTATTTAGAAAACCTGGACATTTACAAGTCCATGGGGCTGGACGCGTTACACCTGAGGGTGATGAGGGAGTTGACTGAGGTTGCTACAGAGCTGCTGGCATTATCTTTGAAAACTTGTGGCAATTCAGGGAGGTTCCAGATGACTGGAAAAGGGAAAATATAGTGCTCATCTTTAAGAAAGGGAAGAAGGAGGATCTGGGGAACTACAGACCAGTCAGCCTCACCTCTGTCCCTGGAAAAATCATGGAGCTGGTCCTCAAGGAATCCATATCTATGCACTTGGAGAAGAAGGTGATTATGAACAGTCAACATGGATTTACCCAGGGCAAGTCATGCCTGACCAACCTGATTGCTTTCTATAATATGACTGGCTCTGCGGATGTGGGGAGAATGGTTGATGTGATATACTTTGACCTTAGCAAAGCTTTTGATATGGTTTCCCACAACATTCTCACAAGCAAGCAAAGGTTGGATGAATGGGCTGCAGAGGATGGAAAAAACTAGCTGGCTTGTCAGGCTCAAAGGGTAGTAATCAATGGCCCAATGTCAAGCAGTGAGTATCAAGTAGAGTGCCCAAGGGGTTTGCCCTGCAGCTGGTTTTACTGAATATCTTGATCAGCAATCAATGAGATGGGATGGAGTATACCCTCACTGTGGATGAGGCTAAGGTCAGTGGAGCAGTAGAGACACTGGAAGGTAGCGTTAGGAATCAAGAGACCTAGACAAATTGGAGGATTGGACCAAAAGAAATCCCATGAGGTTCATTAAGGGCAAATGCAAAGTTTTGCACTTAGGATGGAACAATCCCATGTACCAGTACAGCCTGGGGACTAACTGGCTAAGCAGCAGCTCTGCAGAAAAGGACCTGGGGGTTATAGTGGACAATAAGCTAAATATGAGGCAAAAGTGTGCCTTCATTGGCAAGAAAGCGAATAGCATACTGGGCAGCATTAGTAGGAGATTTGCCAGCAGATACAGGGAAGTGAATAGTCCCCTCTTATTCAGAACTGATGAGGCCACATCTGGAGTACTGTGCCCAGTTTTGGGCCCCCGCTACAGAAAGAGAGTGGACTACAGAAGGAGTGTGGACGAACTGGAGAGAGGGCAACCAGAATGGTTAGTGCGCTGGGAACCATGACTTCTGAGGTAAAGCTGTGGGAACTAGGCTTATTTAGTCTGGAGAAGAGAAGATTGAGTGGGGATTTAATAAAAACATTCAGCTACCTGAAGTGGGGTTCCAAAGAAGATGAAGTTAAACTGTTCTCAGTGGTGGCAGATGACTAAACAAGGAGCAGTGGTCTCAAGATTCAGTAAGGGAAGTTTAAGTTAGATATTAGGAAGAACTTTATCACCAGGAGGGTAGTGAAGCACTGGAACAGGTTACCCAGAGAGGTGGTACAATCTCCATCCTTAGAGGTTTTTAAGACCCAGCTAGACAAAGCCTTGGCTGGAATGATACTTGGGAATGGTCCGCTTTGAGCAGGGGGTTGAATTTGATGACCTCCTGAGTTCCCTTCCAACCTTAATTTTCTATGATTGTATGAGTTAATCCTTTCCACATCAGACATGTATATTCAGTTACCAAATAGAAAAAGGCAAGTACAGTAGCTCTTAGTGTTGCTGACTCTCCACTTTCAGTTTGCAAGATTTCCAAATATGTACGTTTAGGTATGAATTTTGCCTTTTGTCTTCTCATGTACCTTGAAGGAGAGCATATGATCTAGTGTCCCTCCAAGTTAGACAGAATTCCAACAATGGGAAGAAGTATGCCATTCCAGATAATGTTAAGGCATCTGTTGGCCTCACAGCTCCACGTATGTCAAAGACTAAACTGTTTTCGCTGGGGTGGTGCAGAACCTGAAAGCCCTGGAAGCTGTCAAGATTCCAGTAAGCCCCACCACCTCTCCCCAATATTTCATCAGATACCTATAGACGCCAATATTTTTTTGCAAAATACAATCAGTTTTGACAAGTCCGAATTATTTTTTCCCTAGACAAAAAACACTTGTTCACCTGTAAAGCTCCTAATCAGTTCTAATCTTAATATCTTTACACAAGAACACAAACTCATCCTGATTCTTACTTACATTAGACTCCTTTATATAATATAAAATGTATGCAAAGGTCATTTTACCCCACTTTACTTGTGTGATGTCTCCTTAAAAAGGGTATTTCCATGACCACAATGGGGTAAATTTGCCCAGTGTGATAAAAATCAAGCTCCAAATTGCTACACTATGCTTTGCATAGTCTAATGCAAATGCTAACATCACATTTCACCATATTTCTAACACTGTCTTTATGACTTAGACCCAAGTGCACTCTGTGGACATTCTTATTCCAAAGTAAGAACGTGTTGTTCCAGTTTCACTTAAATTAACCTCTAGAAGTTACTTACTGGACTTTAAATTCAATGCATATCTTTATCTGAATTAACTTCCAGCTAATAAGGGTCATATCCTGCAAGGTGCTGAATGGAACCTCTTGGGGAAGTTAGAAGGTACATAGGACACCTAGCATCTCTTAGGAGAGTTCAGCATATTGCAGGATAAAGCCGTCAAAAGGTTGGCTTCACATTTCTTTTTTCAGAGAATAGAAACAATTCTTTATGTTACTATTTAGGGGTTAAAATAACATTCATTCCAACAACCCTGAAGATGTCTAGAATCATTACTTTTCATATAGGAGGTGAAGCCAGGTGGTTAATTAATTCTGTTTTCTTCCAGTAAGTTCATATAAATGCAGTTAGAGAGGAACATAATTATGAAAAATGAGCAGCATTTTAATGTGTGGGTATGAATATATTAAGGGTATTCAAACCTGTCATGGTTATTTTGATGAGATGGATCATCTCAAAAGGCCTTTTTTTCTTTTTGACAAGACGGTTTTTTCCCCCCTTTTTAAATAAATGCCTACTAAAATACTATCAGCTAATATCAGCCAATCTTAAAAATGTTTAATTTTCTAACATGACACATTCACAAAGCCTTTATGACTCATTCATTTAGACTATTAAGAGAATAATAGTATACATAGGTGTATAATTAATCTAATGTTACATCAATAACTTGTAATGTGTTTGTAGAGCTGCAGTGTGTTTTTCACTAGAGATCTGAACTCTGGTAACAGAGTTTTAATTGACTTGTGAACAATTTAAAGTAAAAAGGCTAGCCTCTGTTGCTGACTTTTAGCCATTAGGTTCAAATAAAAAGTGTGACAGGGAGCCATTTGAATAATCAAATAACTTCACACAGAAAGAAATGGATCTGCAGTTCTTTAGGCCAGTAGACAAAAAGGAGATAACCAAATTATAAATCTTACTGTGAAATATTGTATGGGAGTAGAGGGAAAAAGCCAAGAAAGGCTTGACCTTATGAAATGAGACCCAGAAAGGGGAACTGACTGAATGGCAAAAGAATGCAACTTGTAGACATGTCAGTTCTGGACTTTACAAGTACATTTGCTTCCACTGGCAGCAATGGAAGCTTTGCCTCAGACTTCAGTAACTGCAGATATAAGCTTTCAGTGTGGAGGCAACTGAACAAGAGAGTGGAAAAGAGTTGTGCTGCGGCATTGTTTTAGATGTGATTCTGGTACTGGAATAAAAGGAAAAAAAAGTAGTTTCCCAAATATATTGTTGTAGAAAGCCAACAGGATCTCTCTTGCTATTTGCAATAAGCACTAATATACTACATTACACAGCACCACTTTAAGCAAAAGATGCAAAAGGTACCTGGAGAAGTTACAGCTTAGACAGAGTTTTAATCCATTTATCACAGTGCCCAGAGTTGCCATGTGAAGTAATGATAAATAAATATTCTGAGCAAAATTTCAATTTGTATCCAGGTTGTTTTACATAAATAATACTTAAAAATGATAACAGTTGAAGGTTCTGTTGCTAGAGTTTTGCAATTTTCTTCTGAGGGTATATTATATCTCATTATATCTGTAACCATTCAGGCTGAAAAAATAAAACACACACTCAGCATAAGACCTAACTGAAATAGCAGTGCATTAAGATGAAAGAGGGCGATTATTTTGACTAGGGTAAGGGGAACTCAGAATTTTTTTTTTTAATTATTTCAGAGCACAATGTTACCTTATCCTGCACTCATTAAGACAGAATATAAGTTCATATTTTCTTTGTTTTGAAAAGTTTTCTGGAAACCTGAGTACGTAAAGCAATTATGTTATTATCAGACTACTTTACTTTTCATTGTACCTAATGTAAGCTCCATAGGGATCAGAGGCATGGTGTTTTTATTGTGTTCTTACGCTTATTTACATGCATGATCAAGTCACATTTGTGAGAAGTTTCATTTCCATTTCATTACTCTACAAACAACTAGCATCGGGGAATTCATTGCAATTACCCAATGCATTTCCTTTCCCCCTCTATTCTCAGCTTCCCTGAATTCTTATCTTCCCAGACACTGCAATGATAATTCTCATTCCAGAACAAAGCCCAGATGAGACTGAAATAAAATGAGAAGGAAAAAAGTGATAAATGTGTGTTTATTGATACAAGTTGTGTTGTGCTCAGCTTGGTGCTACAGATTCAGAAGCATCAGTCAGATAACCGGAATACAACTATCTCAAGCGTCATTGAGGAACTGTCCAGCAAAAGAATTCACTAACAGGAAGCAGAAAATATTCTCCATAAATTTTCATAGTTTTAAATATCTATAAATTTTTGTTCGTCTTGAGTTAGAGCTCATGTTATATAAAACATCTTTTACTTTACTACAGAAGAACAATTTCTGAAGAATAAGATCAATATGCTTCTGAGATGAGAACCAGCCTGAGAACCCCACTACTGAACACACACAGACCATATCATATTGCCAGAGTTGCAATGTTAGACACGGTATTGAGACCAAGTCCTAAAATGAGGGAGGGATGACTGGCAAATAACATGCTCCAACCATTGCTTATCATGCTGACCAGTATGTTGGCCCTCCATCAGACAGGGGGTTGAACTAGATGACTTCTGGAGGTCCCTCCCAGCCCTGCTTCTCTATGATTCTCTATGTTCTCACTGCCTTCCTATGTAAAACACACTTCATTGCTTCATTCCTTTATTGTTTTTATTAGATGTAGATTGCTAAAGCTTCAGGACCATTTCCTTATTGTTTTATTGAATGTTGCCTTGCATAATAGACCACTACCTCCAAGTATTATCCCAAAACAAAGTCATAAAATACAATTTGGAACAAACAGATAGTGGAAACTTGACAATAGAGTGCATCAGCTTCTTGATTATGAACAGTTTTTAATATAGTCTCAATAACTGATCATATTTAAGGAGAACTATTTAAAAATAGACATAACAAATTCCATAGAATCATGAACAAGTAAGGCTGGAAGAGACATTGGAATAACCCAGTTCACCTCCCTGTTCAAGCCATGTTCATCTTCATCTAAATCATTTTAGGCATGTGTTTGTCTACACCATTCTTAAAAATTTCCAAGGATGGAGATTCCATAACCTTTCTAAGATAGCTTGTTCCAGTGCTTAAACACCCTCAGAGTGAGACAGTTCTTCCTAATATTCAACCTAAACTTTTCCTGTCCAGTCCCCTGCAGCCACAGAGTGTGGTCTATCACCATCCTCTTTATAACCATGCAGGTGACATTCCAACCTAACCAGTCATTCCCCAATCTGAAGCTGTGCATGCAATTATTTTGCCCCAAATACAGCACTCTGCACTTGTTCTTACTGAATTTCATCCAATTAATTTTGGATCATTTCTTCCATTTTTCAAGTTCATTCTAAATCTTCAACTTGCCCACCAGGGTGTCAGCAGCTCCACCCACAGTGGTGCCATCTTCAAATTTGCGAACTGTGCGCTCAATACCACCTTCCAAATCACTACTAAAAATATGAAACAATACTGGACCCAGGACAGACTGATGGTGAACTCCCTCAAAACCTTTTCCCAATCAGATATTGAGCTATCAGTGACTACTTTTTTAATATGATCATCCAGCCAGTTATGTATCCACATTACAGGAGTTTTACCTAGACCGTAATTCTTTAGTTTATTAAGTGTATTAATGAATGTGAACTAATGAAGGGTAGTAAAGACTGAAGGAAACAGGTCTTGTGGATAAGGGACTACACAGGAATTCAGGACAAGAACTGTGTAAATAAAGGGTTGCTTTTGTTCATCTGCTGAGCAAAATAAACTCTTAAAAAATATTTGTTTCAGGTTGGTCCAAAGTGTATTTTTCCCATTTCCCTGCTGAAACAAAGTCAAAACAAATTCATTTCAGGTCAAATAAAATGTTAAATCTTTCTTGTTTAATTTTCAGGTTACCATTCTTACAATTACATTTAGGTAAATTTCTATATAAAATGAAATAACATTTAAAAAAATTGAACGATTTCATTTAAAAAACACTAAAGTAAAATTTAGTTCTTTTCCAGTTCCTCCTACCCTAACAAATGAAACAAAGTTGACAAACTCGAAGTGAATTTGTACATGATTGGTTGACCAATATCTGCATTTAGATTTTTTTTTGTAGG